TGCGTGAACGCGTTTGAAACAATTATAAAATTAAAGTCTATTATATCTTACCAGCAGTGTCCATACCTATCCAATATCTTTCATAGAAATCAATGTTTGAAATTACAATATTTAAGTAATAATAAATCCAGACCATATATTATGTGTTTTTGATGGTCCTGAAAAGTTTCATAAACTGGGCTTGTCTTTTTTTTTAAACTTTAATATTAACACCTTAATAAAATAAAATGTTAAAAACATAATAAAACGATTCTGAATTTAATCTTAGCTTATTAGTAAATATATATAATACGAATTAAACGAAATGTTGTAGAATACCTGCGTAATTGTGTGAGCACTCAATAATAATATACACATGTCTATTTTATTATGTTATTTTATTATCTTATTATTTGTCTTATTTCAAAACACCAAGGGTGCACTGTATACATAATGTTCGTTGAGAAAATAGGTTAATTCTACCCCGCAGATGGTAACATCGTGTTAGATTTTTAAGGAGTTTGTTGAATTTTAGTTAAACACTCAAAATTGATAATTATTCTCAACGTTTGTTTAGTATAAAAACTTAAAAAAAATACTTAAAAAATATGAAATTTTATTTTACAACGCATTTGTGACAGTTGGGTATTTCAGTAGTACCACGCTCTGTGAGTAGAAGCCGGTGTAAAGCTTTTGAAATCTTCTAGCTGTAAATGAAAAAAAAAAAATCGTTACGACCTTACCTGAAATATTATGCTGTTACGAGAATCAGTGTAGCGTAGCCTCTTGCCAACAGCATATTACCGAAAACATTTCTAAATTTTTTCTCTGAGTCTTTCCCCAGGTAATCGGCACGTCAACATCATTCCCGGATTTTTTGACACTTGAATTATTTTCACGCACTTATAACAAATATTTTTATAACGTGTATAATTGTCTGATTGTCAGTATTTTTTAATAAGTTAATGTATAAATATTGTAATCAGTAATTTTAACCATAATAACATAGGTACCTAATTAAGTAAATATTTATACTGTATTGCTGTATAGTATTTTTTGTTGAGTATTATGAACCGGATTTTGAACCATATAGTTTTACAAAAAATATTAAAACTAATATAAAACTAAAATTTTAAAACTCAAGTATGCAATACCTTTTTCAATCATTTAGGATATACGAAATTACTAACCGACATAATTAGAAGTACAAATTAATATTTAGAAATTAATTAATATTTTGAAAATTATAGTATTACTTCTATAGTATATAACGAAAAACTGAAAGATTATTAATACCTATAATACAAGTTTCATATCAACCATCAAAATAATGTATACTATATCGTTAAACATGACCATTTTCTTTGATATACTCATAATGTTCTGTTAATTGACTAGGATGCACTTAACAGGATTGACTTTATGACATAATAACATTACTTTGTACCTACTGATATATACTGAAAAAGTTTTTCGAAAGCAATATTCGCTTTCAAATTAAATTACAACTCCAAAACTCGTATATAAAACTTTTTAATAGTGGACAGAACATTTTCCAGCAAAATTATTTTCACGGACGATATAATATTATGTTTTTGGTTTTTGATTCTGAATTGACAAGAGGAATACTTTGTCCTTAAAATATTAATTTTTCTTACTTTCATTCTGTGTACCTAATCAATGTGAACGGTGTTTCAAGCAAAATTAATGCTTGACCATTTTTATATACATATATAGAGTTATCAATTAAATTCGGAATTAACTTTTAACAATACATTTAAGAAGTAATTCAAAAGCCTTTCTGCGAAAGAAAGAAAAATACTTACTAGTCACAGCCCTAAAAATTCCTAGCGAATTGTTGTAAGTCAACAAGGGAAGTAGTGAAACACAGATATCATTCTATATCATATTCAAAATAAAGTATCATACCTAAAAGTTCGTATAAACAAAAATAAATACCTACTATAGAATATACATGCGATCAATTAAATATATTATGGACTATTTAGTATTTTATAACTTATAATAAATTGTTTTCGTGCCGTACCGATTAGCTGACAACTCTATTTGCCAATATATAATTTTGCTGGCGCTTAATTTTCCGACATGTTATATGGTTCAAAATTAATTAAACTTACTACTTATAATCAAAAATTATAAATATAATAACATAATTACATTAATAAATTCATAAACACGATATGATCAAAAACATTGTTCAAGTCAACTTTATTTATATGTAAACTGTTTTATTATTTTGTAGGGCGTTTGTATTCAAGACCAAAATTTATCACTAATGCGTCAAAGTATTTAATTATATAATTGTACCATTTTGTAGCTTAAATTTGTGATTTGAAATGTACTTAAAATAAATGTATTACAATGTCATTTAAATTTTTAAATGTAATTATAAACTAATGCATAAAACTTTATTTTAGAACTGATAATATTTCTTCTTATTTTCTATTCTGAGCGGAGCATTGAATTGTATTGATTTTAATGTGTTTGGTAGGCAGTATTTATTATCAAAAATTTTTTTTAGTCGAAATTGCTAAAAAAGAAAAGTTTATCGGTGAAAATATAAAAATTTGAAAGATCGCCAAGCTTCCAGATAATAATTTAAATAAAAATTTACATGTTCTATATACGTATATATAATGCATTATTTTTTTTTTAAATATTATTTATTCTAATTAGCTGATTTTTTTTCATAATGGTTAAAAATATTATTATACACCTATTTAATTATTATTGGCATTGACTAATACATGATTGCACTTGTATATTAACCGACTATCAATAACTTTCGTTGTAATATAGTCCTAAGCCTGTGTTTAATATCTTATTGTCCAAACATATTATGTGTGGGTGTGTTGCAAATTATAGTTACTTTACTTATAACGAACATAATTTGTTATACATTTTAGGGTATACAATTTGATAAAAATACATATTTTGTGATGTTTCGTCAAAAAAATAATTTCTTAAAAATTAAATTTTTAAATCAGCTATTAATATTAAATATATTCACCAAAGAAAATTAAAATGTGCATACCTTGACGAAATATTGAAATATTCATAAACTACGAGATGTATAATAAATATGATAATATACATGATTAGATTATTTAATATTTATATAGTATGCATTATATTTACAGCGTGTACCGATAAATTAGAAACTTCCATAAACGAATATATTTGAATAATACCATAACATTATGTTATAATAATAGGTGCATAGTCAATACTTAATATTATAATAATAAGCATTATTGTACATAGGTAGCAAAATGGTACAGGTCCAAGGCAAAAGGACAATATTGTATAAATCGTTTGTTAGTTTACCTAAAATGATTTGTTCTAATTGTTTATTATATAAATAATAATATGCATTAGGTACATTAAATTACATTATTTTATTAAAAAGAAATATAAATAAAACTCACACAAGTATTAGATATGTCGTATTAAATAGGTATAACAATAAACATAATATAATTAAAAAAAAAATTACTCATTATAATTTATAATAGTAATAGACTAAATTTATTTGTAATATAAAATTTGATATTCACTACAAAATTAGGTCCCCATATTTTGCGTTACGTATTTAGGTATTTCTATTGTTTTAAGTGTATTATATTTATATGGACAGCTTATATTTGTCTTTAAAATCTACATGTTTAATGCGTGCCACATTCGTGTCGTATTTTAAATCTATTGCAGGATTAAAAAAAAAAAAACTTTCGTGAAATCACTTTTATCAGAAAAAGTGTAGGTACCAATATAGACATAATTAGACGTACAAGAAAAAAAATTCATTGTAAGACCCTTGAATCGCTTCTACGTTTCTCTCAAAGTGTGAAATGATGAAAATATCTTATATGATATCGATGTTTTATGTATTTAACATTTAACCCTCGTAACAATTTGTTATACCTTCATGAATGAAGTTGAAATATTGGTATTTGACACTTTTGTTATTTTTAAAAATTAAAATAATGTTCTAAATTCTGACTTCTGTGAACAATAAAATGCAATTTAAATCATTTTCCATTATTTCATGAATATTATAATGAAATATAATATACTTTCGCACAATACAATATTATTACCTATTCATACAAATTGAACAATACGACGTTATACGGTTTTATTAATCGAATCGTTAGAAAGAGGTTATGTCTGCAATGTATATAGTATAATATTATTTTAGTGAGTAGGTGTATATAGCCGAGAACAAATCAGTTAGACCGTATACTTATTGTAACTCGTATATAATATACAGTGGAGTAGTTATTTTGTCACTAACAGACAGTGTTGGGAATTATCTAGATAAAATTATCTAGATAACTTATCTAGATAAGATTTTTTGAAATAAATTATCTTTTAAAGTATCTAGATAATTATGTTACGATTTATCTAACGTTTAGCTTAGATAAAAAATGGGCTTATCTAGATAAATTTATCTAGATAAATATTATAGTGCCACTACAAAATTATAAAACCAATGTTACTAAAATTCTAATGTAGTATAAATTATTTATAAAATTAGATAAATATATTTCATGTAATTATTGTCAACGAGTATTACGAGAACCTGCATGCGGGCATGCACTATACATCCTTCTCTACTAGCCATAAATCATAATGAGCATATTAAAATTAATTATAGGTATAGGTTTATTTCCCCATCCATTCTAAAAATAAATAAAAATTAACTTCGTAGAACTGTATTTCATATGAAAACGCACCAGGCGGCTGACGAAAACCGGTTGAACCTTTGATAACGATGCGTCGATGCGCGAAGCAGTGTGTCAGTGCGTTCTTACTTCTTAGTTCTTAATGAAAGAGTATTAGGTATAGCATAATAGCATATTATTTCATTAAGACTACAGAGCCTAACGATTTCTTGTATAACTGTATAAGCCATAAGGCGACCGTTGTCTAGTAAAAGGTATAAACACCATTTTATTACCTACTTGTGAATTGTGACTTTATATTTGAGCCGTTAAATCATGGATCGATTTATAACTTCCACATCAGTTAAAAAAATTCGTTTGGACGTCGAACCAGCAGAAGCTCAAAATGTGGACGACCCAACAACTCTCATTTCTACTCACGTTTCACTTGCACCTGCACCTTATTATAAATATTTATTTGACGAATTTTATAAGCTTCGAAATGTGGAAAATCTTAAAGTAACAGCTGTTTGTCAAAACTGTTCTAAAGTTGTTAGTGGGTCCACAAAATCAAGTGGTAATTTTTTAAGCCATATAAAGGTAAGCTTAATTATTTAAATTTTATTTTATTTAAAAAAAAGATTGATAAACAACACTTTAATAGGTAGTAGGTACCTAGTTTGTTTATTAATCATATGTATGAAGTTTATCTTGTTGATGCTTATAAATTAATACTTCAGTAATTTAGATTAGTACCCCCTCATATTTTATTTGATCAGTTATATCATAATTCAATATTTGTAAATTTTTATACTAGTGTTCAGTATCTAAAAATACATATGTAGTTTTGTTTTAAATTTAAAAAATACAGTATAATGCTACTTGAAAAAAATTTAATATGTAGGTATACCTATATGGTCGGGAATCCTATATTTGTTGACCTAACAAATCAATTTTGTTTTACTGATATCATAGTTTTTACTTTGTACAATGAAAACTTAATTAACATAAAAAAAAATAGTCATACATCATGATTAATCAAAGTACCTACCTCCACTGTAGACCTTTATGCTTTAATATTATAAGCAGTTTGGAGAAGAGATTTGATTATATATTTGATTTAAAAAAAGTCAAAAGTAAATCCTTCATTTTATCTGCTATAAGCCACCCAAAGTTTAAACAATCCTGGATACCCAATAGATACAAATCATATTGTAAACAAATATTTTTTGATGAGTGCTATTTAATTAATACTGATAAAGAAGCTGTTTTAAATACTGATGAAAATGTTGATAGTGATAATAGTGACCAAGAATTTTTTCAAGTCCTATCAGAGAATTGTTTAGATGTGGATATTGATATTCAAAGCAATCATAATTGTATTAATGCTCAAGCTATGGAATATTTAAACTCAAAAAATAAAGATTTTAATGTTCTTAATTCATTTCCAATCATAAAGAAAATGTTTTTCAAATACAATACAACACTTCCCTCTTCTGCTCCAGTAGAGCGTTTATTTAGTAGTGGATCACAAATCATGACACCAAGAAGAAATCGTTTAAATGATAAAACATTTGAAATGCTTTTGTGTTGTAGATGTCAGAATCTTAATTCAAACCACTTCTAATGTCATGTAGTTCTAACAAAAGGTTTATTAACATTGTTATTTGTTTTTGTTATAAAATATTTTTTTTTATTTATATTATACAGTTGTAATTTTATAATTTTTTTTTGTCTTATGAACTATTAAAAATGTTAATTTTGTTGTAGATGTCAGAATCTTAATTCAAACAAGTTCTAATGTCATGTAGTTCTAACAAAAGGTTTATAAACATTTTTTTTTGTTTTTGTTATAAAATATTTTTTTTTATTAATATTATACAGTTGTAATTTTATAATTATTTTTTTTTTGTCTTATGAACTATTAAAAATGTTGTAGGTATTCAATAATAAAACAATTCGCTTATATTTTAGCATTCAACTATTTCTTACCAAACATTGATTATAATGTATTATTTACTGTTTAAATGTTTTTTAAATATTTAAGTTCATCCTTGGTTCATCCTTTTTTAATATTGGTTTAATATGATTTACAAGTGGCTATAGCCTATCAGTGCATACTGCATACATAGGCATTTGACAAGATTTATTTAGAACTGACTTTTCCTTGAGATAATACAAATTAATTATTTTTTACTTGACTAGTTTTGTATTAAAATGTATCAATTATTATTAATTCATTATTGTATGCATTTATATAAGTAGGGGTAGAAATATTATAGTATTAAAGAATAAAGAGTCAGCTAACTACATAATTTTGAACAGTGGAATACTAGTATTGGTTTAAATGTTTTGATGTTTCATTCTTATAGGTATAATATTCAAATAGTTAAATTTAAAGTCTCATACCGTTGTTTTTATAAATATTATGTCATTATATTGATAGAAATCTAATATTAAAAAAATACTAAAAAACATTAAAAATAAGTGTAAAAAAATTATATTTATCTAGATATTTATCTAGATAAATGTATTGTTGTATTAATCTTTATCTAGATAAATTACATTTATGTTATCTTTATTTTTATCTAGATAATATTTTGTTAAAATTATCTTATCTTATCTAGATAATTATTTAGTTATCTATTCCCAACACTGCTAACAGACCATAATCTGCGACCGAATAAATTCTATTTAAGTTTTTTTGTTTTAGTTATATTTATGGCATTTTATTTTTTTTTCCAAACGTCTACCTTTACACTTTCAATTTAATATTCACCAAAAGGAGAATGTTTTCCTTATAATTTCAATCTATTTAATAATTTCGTTTATCTATTGAATTTACAAAATAGTTCATTGTTTATTATTGTCAAATGTTTGACAGGAGAACTTGGAGGAGCGTGGAACATACTGGGTTACCTCTGCCACCAAATGTCACTTAAGTACTAACATTAAACATTTTGAAAAATGTAGTATAAAACAATTTGTAATATATAATACAGCCTAACTTATTTCATACAATAACTGTATAAAATAAACTGAAATCAAATTTACTTGTAAGGTTCGCCGATAAGCTCGTCGGTATTAATTGGTATAAAAATTCGATTCGTACTGTTTGTAATTTTTAGTCCTTCGATATTGTTTATCACTGTTTTACATGCTATCGGCAAGAACAACTTAGGGTAATATTATGATATTATGAATATTATGTATTAATTGAGAAACTCATGAGTATATCGTATCAATAAAAAAATAGTGGGTAAGTGGATGTCGCTCTGATGTACAGTAGGTTACAAGTTTGTCACTGTAATGGATGGTGTTAAATTGGAATTCAATGATATAACATCATTGTATAAGAAAAAGGATTCTGAGCGATAACGGTCAGTCAGCCTATGACATTACTAAGTATATTTGATGATATTATTGTGAAGAAAGTAATTTATATATTTACCTATATTTACGTGCAACCATAGATAATAAAGATATGGATAGGACATAATGGTCTTATCAGCGGTCTTCCAGGGGAATAATTGAGGCCGAATAAAGTATATCTATATGGAGTATCGACTGTCAACAAAAAATGTAAACAAATCGCCTCAATTTCTTATCTATGTTGGACCGCAAAACTAATACGTAATGAATTTGAGGCGTCCTATCCATGTATTTATTATCTATGCGTGCAACCTTGTCTTAAATTTTCAAACCTTAGCTATACAAGTTGAACATTTTATACATTTTTAACTACAAAATAATTATAAAATTTTTAATGCGATACATTTTGTCAAAATTTGAACTTTAAATGCTTATAAATAAAAACTGTGAATAAGGATTTAAAATATACATTTTATTATTTAAAAATAACATTTTTTAAATACCACTGTAACAATATATAGAAGGACCCTTGTATTAAATTGTCAACCTTTGTTACCAAACAAATAAAGTTTTATTGACATTCATAGAAAATTATTTCAAACCATTAAGTTTAAGTCAATCCCAACAGTGAATGAAATAATTATTATTTTAAGTAATTATTAAGTGTACAAAAGTCGTATATAAAAGTGTATGTATGTGAAGGTACTCTGGACTCTTTATTTAATACTTAGATCATAATATTTTGTATATTGTAAAAGGTCACGACTCACGACTATTAAGAGTGGTTTGTGTCTATACATTGTAAATATAGTTTATATCAGGGGTCTCCAAACTTTTTTATTCAAGTTCCACAAAAAAAATCAAATGCTCTTAGAGGGCCAAAAGTTTATTAACACATATAATTTTTAATTTTATGATAATATAGGTACCTACCTATATAAATAATATGTTTACTTTATATTTTTGTATAAAATATTGTTTACTTTACAATATACTTAAATAAAAATAAATAGGTATAAATATAATATAATATAAATACATTTTTGAAATAATTTTTTATCTATATTTACATATGCGGGCCACGGCCGCGGGCCGGTTAAAACTTGTTGGCCGTAGTTTGGAGACCCCTGGTTTATATTATATATGTTTATGAGTTTGTAACTTAAGAGTTAAAATTCAATATTAAAATTTGTTATATTATAGATTTGTTAAACAACTTATAAATTATATGTAACATATTTTCTTTGTTTCATACAATAAACCAACTTTTAAAAATTTTCATTTGGAAGTTGACTTCTATAAACTTTTAGATATACCTAATAAACATTTAATTTTTATTTTTCATGGAAATGAAATATTTCATGAAAAATTCATGAAATAAGAGAAGAAAATAAATGTCATGAAATTTTAAAACCCTATATATTATATACATAATATATAAGTAAAATACCACTCATTCATCGCTACATCTCAAAAACTACAACACGTATGAACTTGACATTTAGAAAAGTGGTTACTGATCTAGAAGTGCAATAAGCATGGAGTTTCCGATATTCAAATTTTAAACAGGTATCCAAACAGGGATTTTGAGAATCACCTTGGAAATAGAAAATTTTTTTGGTATATAAATGGTTGCCATTGCCTACTCAGGTAGACCAGGTTACAATACTAGCATGCATCAAATCGTCACGTTTACATGGCTTCAATTAAAGAAACGATATCTTAAAACCATATATATTATTATGTTATATGCTATTATATGTAAATTGTAACTGATAAGAACCACTACCCAGCACATATATATTAAAAAATACTCAATTGAATTCGACAAAAAGCTCAGGGATTGGTTTTAGAGATATCAGTAAAGTTTATAGAGTAATTAGGTAGTTTAAACCAAGTTTAAAAAATATACCAACTTGGTATTACCAAGTGATAAATTTAAATACAATTCACGACTAGCAGTTGCCCCTCTAGATCGAATTATTTCACAAAGCTAGGTACATTGATGGATTGATGCCCATTTTTCCGAGAACTAAAGTACATTAAAACTGCAGATATATACTCAGACCGAGATAAGCACCTATATATATATTGTGATTTTCCAGAATAAAAACCGTGCACTGACGAAGCTGGAATATTTAGCTATAGTATATTATATTTATTTAAGCCACACGAGTGAGTTAATTATATACCTACAGTGAAAATAACTAAAATAAATAATAAAACAAAACGACATCATAAACGTT